TGCGATTTTATGAGTTTAAGTTGGCATTACTGGTTATAAAGTCAGCTTCACTTGCTCTCTGTGTCTCACCTACTCACAAACAAAGATTATTGTGAATGGATTATACATTTTATAAAGAGAAACACAATCGAACTGAAGGCACTGGATGTTAGTTGGTAAAATAAATAGAGATTTTAAAGGGGAAAGTAATATTAAAAGGTATCCATTATCTCTTAAGCTATTTTTAGCCTTTATTTAATTTAAATAATAAATTTTCTTTTATGCAGCCTAATGTGTCTTTCACGATAGAGAGTGAATGAAACATCAATGTTCATTTGTGATACTTCTAGGCTATCAGAGATCAGCTTTTTACCGTATTATATTGCAAAAGAAATTATTGTGATTGAAATCAAAGTACAAAAGCAATTCAATAGCTGTGTTCCCTTACTTGATTAATGGTGAACCAGTAAGGAACAGTCAAAAATCGGACGATAGTAAAGCTCCCGTAACAAAAGAATATATTTGAAGTATACCACACCACCTATCAAAATTTGGCTTTAGCGCAGCTATAATTTGGTTTCCGAGGGAACTAATATATTGGAGACATATCCAATTCTAAATCGATTTTAAACTAATTTGACGGAGTGCATCGTCAAATCGAGAAGGATTATATAAAAAATATATATCAGAGCATTAAGGATATATACATGGGAGCTATATCCAACTATATCCAACTCTGAACCGATCTCGATAAAATTTGGCAAAGGTATTTTCGAGCTCTATAAGATATCTGGTACCAAATATCATTATTGCGTAGTGAATATTACGAATGTGAGGAACATAAACACCAAATCGGATGAAACATATAGCAATATCTGATTTTCACCAAATTTATCGCACTTGCATCTATACAGAATTCGGTCGGTTGTGCCAAAATTCTGGTCATTTGGACTGATATTGGCAATTTTTAGTGCACAATTAACCCGACTTTTTTTTCAATAGGGTTCGTCGAAATAATAATTTTAGACCTAATATTGTCTAAAAATCCATACTAGAAGTACTTTCTAAGCACTTTACCCCCTGCAATATAATGTCTATATAGGTCCACGATATCGTATAGGCCACATACACGGTACCCCCCGATATTCAATATTTACACAATTTTAGGGACATTATTCCCGGTGTTGTTTCAAATTTCGAATTTAGAATTCGTAATGGGTACTACAGCCTACGACAACAAATTGCGTATGCAGGCCCCCGTCTTCGTATATCCTGCATATAACGGTACCTCCCTATATTCGATATTTTGACGATTCTAGGTACAATATTCAACGAAATTGTTGGAAATTTCGCATTTGAAGTTCGTAATGGGTACCACAGGACCATGAAGGTCCAGGTCTTCTTATAGCCCCTATACAACGGTAACTCCCTATATTTGGTATTTTCATGATTTTAGCCACATTATTCACAGATTTTTTTTCAAGTTTCGTATAGACCCCAATATAACGGCTATATTCGGTATTTTTAAGATTTAAACGGATTTTTTTATGTTTTTTTTTTTTAAATTTGCAAATTCGTTCCAAATGGTGGAGGGTATTTAAATTTCGGCCCGGCAGCTTTTTTACTTGTTTTTTTTTTTTTTTTTTGTTATTACCTTTGCTAACATGTTTATTTTTGTATGAACTGGCACGTGGACCATATATAGCGGGCAAAAATATCACAACGAAAAACTGTTATTGTGAATGTCGCATCTTGAAAGTGCCAAAATTGATTCACTTTCACACGTTCAATTGACATACAGTTACAGTACATTTTGATAAAGGCTATTTGTTTATAATTCGCATGGCACAATCAATTTACAGCAGCTGATCATCTAGATTAGTTGTCAAAGCAGTTATTGTGAATGGAATCACAGTACGAATGATAAACAAAAGGTAAATAAAATTTTAACAAATGATGGCATTCAATGTACATTTAATTGACTAATCACAATAAATCTGACCATATACCACATAACATAGTGGAATTGGTGTAACACGTATTATTCCGCCTTAATTTTTCGTACTGTGATTCCAATCACAATAATTTATTTTAATGGGTAGTCTGCAGATTATCTGGAAATGCCTACCAATTAATTGCACTATGGACCATAGCCCAAGTGTAAGGTCCCCCTGCCAAGCCAGCTGACTACCAAATGCGTTATTTTGATTGAAATCACAGAACAAAAGATAAACAATAGCCAAAAAGTGTAAACAAATGTTGACATTCCATCGGTTCCATGGTAGAAGAATACAGGTAGTGGCATCAACACAGCCGCTGGGACAATGAACTGTCAAACCCATTTTGGAATTTAAATGTTTGACCGTAAAAGTATTCAAAATTGTAAAAAATGTTAAACAAATACATATCATAATCTCTGATTAGCGTTGTATAGGGAAACATATACAAATCTACTTCTTTTTGAAAAAAAAAAAAAAAACATTTAAAAAATTTTGACATATCAATGTTCACAAGCACTGATGCATCTACCTGTATTCTTCTACCATGCTCTGGTCTTTAAAATTTGCAGGAACACCTTGTTATTGTAGAATCAAAACAAAATTACATATTAAAACTCGACATTATTATTCTCCTTTTATGAAACTTTTACTAACAATGAAGGTGTTATTAAACAAATTATTTACAAGAATATCAAAATAAATTAAGATGTTTAAAAACTATCCCTGCTTTTTTTGTAATGAGCAACAATATCCTTTAATAACAACAAAAAAAAAGAGGAGGGACAAAGATTGCAAGTTCTTTTCATTACTGCTTCTGGCACAAAGGCGGCGTACAATGAAGCACCCCAATAGAAACGAAAGAAATGAAAAGAAACAAAACTACAATTTAATCATGTACCACCTACTACTTCCACTCCTTGGCCAACGGAGCAAGGAGGACTAAAAAAAGACAAACAGAAAAAAAGACACCAACAAGAAACCCTGTTTCACATCATTTATATTTTTAATTAGAAAAGAAAACCAAAGAACATAAAGAAATATCCTTTTTTAGGACTTACTTTCGTGTACTCAATATCCTGCAGCAGCACCACCACCTACATAAAAACACTTATTATGTAAATTTTTTCCCTAATGAGTTCAAATTCATTTTTAAAAGATTTCATTTCTTGTAGCTAGTTTTTTTCTTCTTTTTTTCTTTTGGGTCTCTTGAAGGACTTTATAAGTTTTCTTTCTCTATCTCGCCTTTGCTCTTGTATTGAACACCCCTCGCTGCTGCTGCGGCTGGTGTCATCTGCAATGTCTTATTTCAAGTATTTTTTTATACAAATTTTATAAATTAAACCGGAAAAAAATGTGTATTTTTTAAGAAAATTCTCATTAATTTCTTGTGTTCAACTTACAAACGGGAAAAAAATTACAATCCTTTCACAACAACAACAACAACGACAGTAAACCATATCAGGGCCGCCGACAACTCATCATGCAGGACAGCAGGACAGGACAGCTTAAAGAAAAGGACAAGAACAACAACGCCGCGCCAAAGAATGAAGTGGAAATCTAAAAGTGTTTTCCACTCTTCCTTTTTTCGCTCGTGTCACGATAAGACGTTGATGATGATGCTGATGGTCGTCGTCGTCGTCGCCGCCGTTGGTTGGTTTGTATTGTGACGGTCCATTGCTGGACTGGCAGGCACACCACCCCTCATCGATGGCACAGACATTAGCTCCATACTACCACCTCCTGTAAGCCAACCACAGATCAGCACCACCCCACCACCATTGACACTGTCATCTGCATTACCATCACTCACTTATTAAGGGCAGCAGCCTTTTACAAAGTACAGAAATTTAGCCAGCGTATTCATACCATTCATTTACTGTCGCAGTCAGTTTACTCTCCAACCGATAGTCAGCCGTCATTTGTTTGATGTTCACTCTGAAGTAACATCATCCCTGAATCAAAATTGTTTAAAGAAGCAAAAAAAGAGTTGAAAATCCCTTTTTTGCTGAGTAATTTTTTCCAACTTAAATTATTCTCTCATATCCCGGGGTGTCACGTTGCCGTATTTACTGCTAGAATTGCGCCAGGGCAAAGATTTCACTCACCCCCTGCCCAACAATGCAAATAGCCGTGATTTGAAGTTTTAGACAACATCGAAAGTGGCAAGCAATTCCATTGACTGCACGTTGAAGAGCTGCCCTTAATTTGACATCATAACCGTTTTGTGTCTAAAACAATACACAGTGTAATTTTGTTGTTCAATTATTTTTCCTCAGGGTAAGTCCTTTCATTTTTGTAGGCTTTTCATAGGAATTCTCCTATTTAAGGGAACTTCCATTTTTGGAGTTTTTGTGCATCTTGTGATTCTGTTTTTTTAGTTCAAAAAAATAAATCCTTTTTTAAATTGTAATTCAGACGAAATTGTGCTAAATTATACAAGTGCCGCAATAAACATATGTTATACCACACTCTTTGTGGTTACCTCTCACCACAAGTTTGGCGAAAGCCATAAAATCCCGTTGATTTTTTTCTGATTTATTTTCAATAATAGCTTTAAACAATGCAAAATCATTTAAAAAATGTTTAAAATTTAACAGAATGTGTCTCTATTTGGCTTACGTACACTTTACGTTGCTGCTTCGCTAATTAAAACATAGCCTCACACAAAATGTCATTCACAATAGTATAGCAAAACAGGTGATCATAGAAATGGCAAATCATTTCTTTTTTGAATTGCTATTTTCTATCTCAATAAATTAATAAAATATTAAATTATTTATAAATTAAAGATAAATAAATAAATTTTGTTTTACGGTTTCCTTACGATGCGTTTTAAACAAACCACGACACCTTGATTCACAATAGACCTCTTTCACAAACAGGTGACTTTTTGAGATGACAATTGTATTTTCATTTAGCGGGTAAATTTGTAAGATTGTTTTCTTTTTTTCTTATTAAATTTCAAAAACAAATTCATTTGAATTACTTATTAATCTTTTATTATTTATCTTCTCTTTACAGGGTCTCTTGCGTACTGCTGAGCAATTAAAAATCAAAGGTCTCTGTGAAACCGCCGAAAATGCTGATGATCTGAATGATGCTGCCACAGCCACAATAACTGTCTCCGAGAATATACAGCAAGCCGTAGTTGGTAATATTGTCAATGCTACGGTAGTGCCGGGTCAAGCCTCACCACCCATACCCCAGCAACATCATCACCAACAACAGCAGCAACAACAACAGCAGCAGCAACAACAATTAGCCAATACAGCTGTACTCACACAGGCCGTCAGTCCCAATAGTTCACAGCAATTGGCCGCTGCCGGACAACTGGTAACCTCGACACCCATTTCATCGCAACAACATCAACAACTTGGCGGTGGTCGTAAATCCCGGGTACGCAAACGTTCCAAATCACCGGACATACTATTGGCACATCACGAACAACAGACCCAACAGCAGCAACAACAACAGCAACAGAATCAACAGCATCCCCAAGCTATACTAATTTCAAATCAAAATCAAACAGCTATTGTTAGTCTACAACAGACATCGGCTGGAAACTATATACCGGTGTCGGGTGTGCAAACAGTTACAACCAGTGTAGCAGCAGGCGGGCAACAACAACAGGAAGGTGGCTCAACCATAAACACCGGCGAGGAATCGGATTCGGAAAAGCCAACCTTACAGAAAATTTGCAAAACTGAAGCATCATCCGCTTCGCCAGCATCTGCATCTTCGGCCTCGGCATCGAATAATGCTGGTGGTGTAACTACCGTAGCAACACCGGGAACAGCAATTGTAACACAAATTGTAGTAGCTAGAGACGGAAAAGATAAAAATATGACTAGTTTAGGCATGGGAATGGTAAGTAGCCGTCGTCAAATACACGGCAAGCAAGAACATCAATAAAATGGGTGACAACATGCAGTGTGCGCCTATTTTTATATTCCAAACGAACATGATTTGATAAGTTTCTTTCTCTTGTTTTATTTTCTAGAATGGTGGCATTCTGGGAGTCCCAATGGGCTTCTTAGATTTTGCCCCCGAGCCACCGGCACCATCAGCGACACCAGTTACGGTTACAGAACATGTGGATTTGTCATGTAACCCCAGTACGGATACCAGAGATTTATCAAGTGAGTTGAGAAATTTAAATTATTTTAAGAAATGCATTCAATCGAATATCATTATAGAGGAATGGGGTAGGAAGAAAAAAATTATACAAATTTACAATGTCGAAAGAAAATGAATGGAAGAGAAAGAGTGTTTCATATTTTTTTTAACCAAACATTAGAAAATTTCTTATCGATTTGCTCATCTTCTTTTGCGTTTATTTTCAACATTGTGATTTCTATAGCAAACTCATTTTTAACGAAATTTAATAAGTTTTGTTTTGCGTAATTCAAATAAAAAAAAAGCTTTGCGTCCCTTTTACAATTCAGTAAAAGGTAACAAATCTTATAATGATTTACCAAAGAGGATTCCCAATATTGATGAGAATCGGTTAAATGTGTTTCTGTTTATTTTTAAAACTAGCTTTATTATTTATTTATATAATTAGTTTATTTGTTTATAATAGCTGCAAATTGAACACGCCTATATATTCCTTAATGCACACATTCCCATTTTGACGACAATCAATAGTCGTTTTTTTTGGTTTAATATTTTGCACCTCAAGAAAACATCATATGTTTTATTATCACTTATCAAATATCCGCAATTGAACATATCCATATAGCCCTAGTTTTTTATCCATAACCCACCCTACCCCATTGATGTGACTATCCGCCATAGTTCGTCTCTGGGGTGCATATTTTTCCATAATTTTGTGCAAATTCTTTGTACTTATTCGCTTCAACTTTTGCTCTTTTCACTCGTAGACCCCTCAGAACCGCTCGATATAGACAATCATTTGGCCCAACACATGATACAACGGCTCGATCAATCTCCAATGCACTCGATGCACCATCAAACCGGTGACGAATCAAATTCGAATCTGGTACAGCATATAAAAAGTGAAGTCCTCGATGCCAAACAGCAACAACAGCAGCAGCAACAAGTTCAACAGCAACAAGCTGCTGCTGCAGCTGCCGCCCACCATCAAGCTCAACAGCAACAGTTGCATGCCCAGATGGCAGCGGCACAAAATCAAAGTCATCAACAGCAACAGTCGCACCAACAGCAGCAACAACAATCACACCAGCAGCAGCATCACCAACAAGCCCACCAACAACAACAGCATCATCAGGACATCACGGGAGCAACAGTGATGGAGATTGATCCGAGCCAAATAAAACATGAACCGGGCATGATAATAACACCGGAAATTGTAAATATGATGACCACCGGGCATATGGGTAAGTTCAATTCAATTGTGGATTATACCCCCCTTAGATTTTTACAGCATATGAATGAGGCTTACTTAAAAAACATATTTGTTTCTCTCCACTTCCTTTGCAGATATGTATAACTCTGATACGAGCGATGATTCAATGATGATTGCCAATGGCTCACCACATGATCAAAACGAACCACACTACACCAATTTAGATCAGCAGCACGGTGGAGATATGAAAGGTCAGTTTAATGGTCCCAAAACTTGGACACAAGATGATATGAATTCAGCTTTAGATGCATTGAAGAATCAAAACATGAGTCTGACGAAAGCATCCGTTACCTATGGCATCCCCTCCACCACACTATGGCAGCGGGCCCATCGCATGGGCATTGAGACACCGAAGAAGGAAGGAGGCACCAAATCATGGAACGAAGACTCACTGAACAATGCTTTGGAAGCATTGCGCTCTGGACAAATATCAGCGAATAAAGCATCGAAAGCCTTTGGCATACCTTCATCGACGCTGTATAAGATAGCAAGACGTGAGGGTATACGACTGGCTGCGCCATTCAATGCCGCACCAACGACATGGACACCTGATGATTTGGAGCGTGCATTGGAGGCCATACGTGCGGGTCATACATCCGTACAGAAGGCAAGTGCTGAATTCGGTATACCGACAGGTAAGTGTTTTATATTGAAATTACAACAATACATATTAAGAGACTGGAAAACAAAAATAAACATGTGTTATTTTTGCAAACAAAAGGTACCCTCTATGGCCGTTGTAAACGAGAAGGCATCGAATTATCACGTTCAAATCCTACTCCCTGGTCGGAAGATGCTATGAATGAAGCGTTGAATTCAGTACGGTAAGAAGTGTTTTCAAATTGAAATTATGACACGCATTGGAGAGCTTACTAATCATAATTATTACTTTTGTTAACAGCATTGGCCAAATGTCCATCAATCAGGCTGCTATTCATTACAATTTACCCTATAGCTCTTTGTATGGCCGCTTTAAACGTGGTAAATACGATGTTTCCAATACGAGTGGAACTTCCATAAACAATACATCGGGCAATACATCGGGTAGCATTGAAATTATTGAGCATAGTCAAGAGAATTCGGTAAGTTGCAATATATGATTTTGAAAACACTAATTTTTTGTGTGTTTTTGTGTATTTAAGTTTGGATTTTTTTTAAATGTGTATGGAAATGTCGTTTGGTAGGTTGAAATATTAAATTGGAGATTTCTAGGCGACCATTGTTTTTCAAATTTAGTATTTGAAGTTCATAATGGAAACTACAGCCTATGACAGAAAATTGTCTGTGCAGGTCCACATCTTCGTCTAGCCCCCATATAACGGTACCTCCCGATATTCGGCATTTTTATGGTTTTAGCGGCATTATTCACGGGAATTGTTTCAAATTTTGGTATTTGAAGTTCGTAATGGATACTATAGCCTATGACAGTAAATTGTCTGTGCAGGTCCACATTTTGGTAATGGCTTATGACAAAAGCTGCCTATGCAGGTCCACATCTCGTATAAACTCTAATATAACGGCTACATTCGGTACTTTGAAGATTTTAACAGAACTGTTAACGGATTTTATTATTATTTTTTTTTTTTTTTGAAAATTGTCATATTCGAAGCCGAAGCGCTTGCTTGAGGTGATCGACGCTTTGGTATTTGCCAACTGCCAACCTTTTCCAAAATACTCCAGACACAATAGTCCAACGGATTGGTATCTGGAAATTTCGGTGGCCACTGTGCGCTGGAAATGAAGCGAGGAACCTCATTTTGTAACCATCCTTGGGTGGCGCGTGCTGAGTGCGATAGTGCTTAGTTCTGTTGGAGTGTCCAAGGTCTGCGGTCAAAATGTTTGCGTGCCCAAGGTTTTAATACCACGCCTTCCAGAATATTTTCGCGATAAAATTCGGTATACGATCACCATGGCCGGCGCTTGAGTTCTGGTGGCCAACCGAAGATGCATATTTTCAGCTGACCTCTTTGTCAAGTGAACACGGTCATTTTGTTTGTTTACAAACTGCTGGATAACGAATGTTTTCTCATCGGAGAAAACCAAATTCGGCAGTTTACCACTTTCGGCTAAGCGAAGCAACTCTTGAGCTCTTTTGAGTCTATTTTCTTTCTGTTGTGGTGTAAGTTCTAGCACTTTTTCGAATTTCATTGACTTGATTGATTGATTACCCCGAGCTCATTTTTCAATATTTGCCGGATGGAATATTGCGATATGTTCAGCTCACGAGCCATTTTTCGGCCACTGCGAGGCAGGTTTCGATCAAGTCGCTTCTTTACTTTTCGAACCATTTCTGCTGATGTTGCTGTTTTCTTCCGTTCACTTCCTTGACGTCGGGCTACGCAACCAGTAACGAGCGATGGTACGAGACACAAAAGATTTATTCACATTTAAATGCTGGAGTGCTCTTACGATAGCCACTTGTGGTTTTCCAGCCAAATATAGAGAAATCACACTATCACGCTTAAATTCCATCACGAATAATTTTTTTCTGGAAAATTCTCACCAAAATGCCTTTGTACGCTTGTAAACAATGTAATGAGCTGTCACTGGAATAATTTTAAAAGCCGTCGGACGAGTGGCTTACAAATGACAGCAGTCTGAAGTTGGTTGCAGTTTTTTCATCTCACCCTCTCCAGAATAAAATTAACGACATTCCCATACAAATTTTCAAAGTCCATATAGCTCTTAATATTTTGAATTTTTAACATTTATTTATTTTTTTATTATAATTTCATAATGCTGCTGTGTCACATCTCATTTATAATCTCATTATTATTTTATATTTCTATTTTTTTTTTTGTTTAACTCTCAACACAACAACACAACTACTACTACTACTACTACTCCCCCTTAATTTGAATTCAACAATTATTACAACAACACATAAAATTTATCAAGTTGCCTATGTTTCAGCAACAATTCCAATATAGTCCATCACCGCATCAGCACGGTGGCAGTAGTACACCGCAACAAAGCCAAACACCACAACATCTGCAACAACACGTAGTCCACATACAACAACAGCAGCAGCAGCAACATCATCAGCAGCAACAGCAATCGCAGCATGCGCAACATATCCAACAGCAACAGGATGTTGTTACCTCGTCGAGTCAGCAACAACAAGTTCAACAACAGCACGCCAGCAATTCAGCCGCAGCGGCATCGCAACAGCAGCAACAACAAATTCAGCAGATCTATCACCATCACAGTACACCCGAGAGAAGTTGAGAATCACTGCAAGTGGTACCAGCAGCAGCTACAGTTGCGGCCGCTGCTGTAGCGGCTGCGGCAGCAGCAGCCAATTTAAGTATCGGCGGTGGACATCATCATACTACAACAACAGTAACACATCAGCAACACCATCATAGTGCAACCAGCTCCGCCGTCGCCAACAAACGCAAGAAAACATCAAAATCGAAACGTTGAACGCTGTTGGTGGCAACGTTTCAATTTCTCACACAGAAGAGCAAAAGCAGCAACATTGTTTTTGGGACTGATTGACCTATTGATAACTACACATACACACGTACCGAAAGATAAGGCAGAGAGACAGACAGGATATACATACAATTTATATATATAAATATAAACAACAACAATTTTAATCTGAAAGAATAATACAACAAACCACAATTCAAAACGGAGTATAACAACATCAAGTTATAAGAGACACTAGAATCTAAATCCGAAGAATTATTGTGTAAAATGGAAATATTTTTAAATTATATTTAATGAAAACAAAAAGAAAAAAAAAACAGAAAAAATCAACAAACAATATAATTATTAATAATAAATAATTAAATCAAATCATGAAGAATTAAAACAAAACATGAAAATAATGTTAAACAAAAGAAGCAAAAAAAAAACACAAAGGAAAAACATAATAAAATCAAACAAGGTATACCAATTTATTTAGATTTAACCAAAACCAATAACAACAACAACAAGATACCACAATCTTCTAACTTCTACAGCAAACTGAATAGACACTTAAATTTTCAAAGAATATCAATTCACATTTTTGGTGACTTCAACAACACTTGCAAGGAAAACAATTTACTTCATTAAAATACGACGAAACGTATTCTAGATTGGAACTCTCAAAACCACAAATTGAAAACAATAATCAAAATGTCAATACTTTATGTTTTGGAGAATGCAAAGTAATTTTTTGGTGGTCCGAATTTTAACAGAGATCACAACAACCAACAACCATATGTTTTGGGGTCTCTCCAAACTTGTTTGATGTGATCTTTGTTTATTAGCCTCCCCCCGCCCCATTATGACTGACTGAAATGAACCGAGGTAAAATGATGGCTCCAAAATAAATTGTCTCTATGTTTCCCATTTTTTTGTATGATTCATGAGTTATAAAAGTAACAGCTGGACAGCAGGATGCGGATGTGGATATTATTTGGGTGTTTTTACTTTTCTTTTCTCTAATTTTAAGGTTTAAGTTTATTATTATTTTTATTTAAAAAAGGAAAACTATTATTTCATAATTTTAAGTATGGATTTTTTTTATAAGAAATAGAAGAAAAAAAAGAACTATTGTAATAAAATACTACAACAACAAACAAATAGAGTTAACAGCAAAGAAAGATTTATTTTAAATGGAGTTTATTTTAAATGTTTTCTTCTTGCGTTTCAATCATTAGTTGTAATACCAAACAAACAACCAATAACCACAACTCACTCAATACCTAAACTAGCCTATACGATAATAGAGAAGAAAAAACAACAACAGAGAAAACAAAACAAAACTGTTATTTAATTTAAAACACAAACAAAAAATGTTCATTATTTTCTTTAAGAATTTCCTTTCTTCTTTTTTTGTGTGAATTAAAAGAAAGAAACAAACATATGTAATTATAATTGTTCCATTTTTTTAGATATTTTTGTTGATTATTTTTGAAGAGGAGGTGTTATTCTATAAAAAAAAAACTTGATTTTTAATTGGAAATTTCAAAAAAAAATCATAACCATTTCAAATAAAAGGAAGGGATCTACAATGAATTACAAACATACATACATATATTTCTATACGAATTTTTTGTGAGCTACTATCCTATTATATACATACAATTTGTATTTTATATAAATAAATAAATTTTCTTGAGTTTTTTTGGTATTGTAGTAGTGTAGCATTATAGTTATTCTTTAAATGTAATATCACATAAATATAGAATTCAAATTACCACAAAAAAGAAACTTATTTTTAGCGGAGTATTTTCAAAGTAATGAAAACCTCTACTTTGAAAGCCCATCTTTAAGAATAATTTAAAAAAAAACGGTATTTTTTCTTCATCATTTTTCAATAAAAAGCTTTAAATTTGTTTAATTTAACAAATACACGAATTACTCTTTTATTTTTTGTTAGGTTTTCTTGTTTTTTTTTTTTTTTTTTGGTTTGGGAAGAAGTTCAAATGTGCAAAAATAAAATCTTAAAATTTACCCACTGGATTTGCATTGAAATTGTCATATCCATTACTGATACTTCAAACAAATCCTCTTAAAGTAGGTTAACCCTGCGAAAAGTCTTAAAGTAAACATGGGATAAGTTGCCTTCCAAATTATTCTTTTAATTTTTGTCAGATCTTTTTTTTTATTTAGAAACATTTTAAAATACAATAATGTCCCACGAATTTTGGGAATTAGGTTGGAAAATATGAACAAAGCTTTAAAGGAGAAAATATTTTTTTAAAGAAAATTCAAAGTCAGCGCAAATAAAATATTAAAAAAATATGTGCAAAACTTCAAAAAAAAAAACCCTTTTTAAGGAAAATTTGCGGCAAGTCGAAATTAAATTTCTTAATTTTCTAAAGTTTAAATTTTAAAAGCATAGCTATTGCAATAAAAATGAAAAATCAACCCCGATTAAATTCTTTTCTTCTCAAAGTCGATTTAAAGAAAATCAAAAAGTTTGGCTATGATATCAAAAAACAAAAATCTTTGAACAAAAAACTGAAAAATTCTCATTTTCAATTCAAAGAGAAAAAATTTCAGGCAAATTTTCAAAGTATAGCTAAAGCAAACTTCCAGAGTGGCAGTAAAAATGAAAAATCGACTTATGAACCCTCGATTAATTTCTTTCCTTCTCAAAGTCGGTTTACAGAAAATCAAAGAGGTCGGTTATGATATCAAAAAAAAAAAAAAAAAAATTAAAAAAAACTGAAAAATTCATATTTAAAATTCTTCAAAGGGGGAAATTTCAGGTTAAACTAAATTTTGAATAATTTATTTAAGTGATTTCGAAAATTTTTAGATTTTTTTCAATTTTTTTTTCTTAAAATGTGATTTTTTTACAATTTTCACCGAAAAAAATTAAATATTTTAAATGAATTTCCAAATTATCCAGATTAATTGTCAAAATAAGTTGATACTTTCCAAGATTTCGAATAAAGATTTTAAATAATGCCATAGTTGAGAAAAGCAGTTTCAGGTAATTTTTTGATAAAAATTTTAAAATATTAAAAAAAAAAACGATATTTTAAGTTTGAAACAATCTGTAAGTTTTTTTTGAGCTTAGTAAAGCTCCATTATATTTTTCCATATTGATAACAAGAACATTTTTAATTTAAATTTTTTTAGTGAAAATTTTAAATTTTTTTTCCAAAAAATAAGCTTGAATTAATCTGTATAATGAAAGAATTTTAAATTTCAATAAAAAAAGGAGTTAAAACAAACGTTTTTTTGTTTTTTTAAAATAGTAACTTGTTTTAATTGGAAATCGACGATGAGAACTATTTTGACTTTTTGAAATAAACTTGAAACATGCTACTTTGGGTCCCAGAAAACTTCCGCCATTTTATTATTCCAAACATTTTTGAAAAAAAAAAAATTCAAGGTCTGCAGATGAATTCAAATTGAATAAAATTTAAAAAGTGATCTTAAACATCTATCAAATTATTTCTTGTTTTTTTTTTTCTCAGCCAGATGTCAAAATAGTGTGTAGTTTATATCAGCCAATAAAATCTTAGGAAACAATTTGAAGGTTTTTAAGCTAAGTTTTCTATTCCCGTTTCAAATGTTAACCGAATTTTCATTCAGGAAATCAAAGATTTTGAAAAAAATTTAAATTATTTCAAAATAATATTGAACTACCTTTTCTCTTCAGAAACAAACTAAGAAAGTTTTGCTTTTTTTGACTTTTTTTAACTTAAAAATTTAGGAAGAATTTATTTATATTTTCATATTAAGTCTTTCAACCGGTTTTGAATTACAAAAGCAAACATTTGTAACAAAAATAGAAATTGTGCTAAAAATTTATAGGTTGTTTAGTAACGTCTCAAAATATTATCCAGACCAAATTCTCAAGCAGAAAATCAAGAAATTAAAAAAAATTAACTTTTTTTATAAGTATCTTCTTAAAATACTTTCTCTCTTTAGAAAATGAAAGGGGAATCTTGAAAGTTGTGTTTTTTTAAAAATTCTTGAAAAAAGAAACGTGAAAAAATTTTTGGAAAATCCTGGAGGAATTTTATATTTTCAATCATATTTCAAATACAATTTTATTATCAAAGTTTGTGGAAGTGGAGACAAAAATGGCTTAAATGTAAACACAAAATTTAGATGAGAAGTAGGACATTTTAAGTAGTAGAGATCGATTCCGAAGACTTAATTTTGGTATTTTTCGTATAATTAAAGCGGAAAAACGCCATTTTAAATGTTTTTTTTTTTTTTTAATTTTGAATTAAATGTAGAAAAATGAAAAATATGAAAAAATTAATTGGAATAGCGTTTTCAATTTTGTATTGTATTTGAGAAGCAGACCGTCAAATACATGTTTTAGTTTTATTACAAACCAAACCAATTCAATATCAATTTTATATTTTGTGAATTTTAATTCAAAATGGTACAATTATAAAAGAGTTTCCGAATATTATATTAAATAACAACTAAAGATTCTAAATGCATTCTATTGGACTTTGTAAAAAACTTTCCTTAACAAGTCTTCAATAATTTTAGTAAACAATATCCATTTAGCATCGTTTTCCTCTGGCTTGGAACAACACCACCTCTTCAAAAACAAATCAATTTTTATTTTAATTTTATAATATTTTTTTTTAACTTAATAATTTTCTTAACTTTCGATTTCTTAAATAAACTAAGTATTTTTTTTCTTTACGAAATGTAATATATTAATAACATAGAACTCCGATCCCCCCGAAAGCATATAAAGAAGATATAATAAACAGTTAATAATATACAAAAAAAAAAAAAAAACCACTCGAAAAAGAAAATTCAATTTAAATGTAATATAAATAGAATTAAAAATAAAAAATTAATAAAATAAAAACAATCCCCCCAAACCTCCTACACTAATATTTTTTCTGTAAACTAAAATAATGTTATAATTTTAAGGAAAATTCTCTTTTTTGTTTAACATTTTGATGAAATAAACTGTAGTATAAAATACAAAATAGTGAACATTATTGATTTTAAGAATAAAACGAAAAAAAAAAACAATTAAAAATATTATAAAATATAATGAGAAGAATGAAAGAAAACACCCCCTTACATTTTAGAAAATTAATATTAAACAAATGAACTTTAAGGCTTAGGCGATTAAGAATATTATCGTTATGAAACAAAACACACCACACCACACAAAGAATAAGAGGAATAACAACCAACAAACAACAACAACATTATGGAAAGTAACAGTTTAATGGATTATAAAACAACAACACATAAAACTACAACAACAAAGAGAAACAAACAAAAAAATTAAAATAAAATAAAATTAAAAATTATTCAATAAAAATAATAATTAAACATAATAAAAAGAAAAAATTGTAGTGTTTGATTTTTCACTTTTAGCTTCGGCTGATATTCGTTGTGGGTTAAAAAAAATGTATAAAATTGAATAATGAATTGAATGGTATATTGACGGCACAGATGATATGTCAGAAACTCTGACGTATATGACATACTTTTCCGAGGTATCATACATACGTCGAAAAAGTCGTAAACCTAGACAAATAATAAGAGTTTTTGACAGAAACGTGGTGGTTGAATACAAAGGCATATAATAAGATGGGACATTTCATTTTTGTATTTATTCAATAGATGGCGTTGGTAGTGGACAAATATGTTATGACACCATATCGTAAGATAGCATTATGTTATATTGTTTATCATATCTGTTGATTTTCTCCACAGCTTAACGCCATTTTTTCGCGATATCGGAATAACATATTTCTTTAAGTTTTCTAATATATTTTTGCCATGTCGTCGGCCTTCTATTGCCTGATCGAGACACTAAAAGGGAATTTGCAATTCGTGCAATCTTTACAGTTTAATGTCATTGGAACAAAATGCCAGCCTCAGGTTTTAAGCTTTCCGAAGTAACTTTGAAAGGTTTGAAAGACTTACACAAGGAAACTAACCTCACCTTAAGATCAGCGAGATTTACCAAGCAACTTTGGATATATTATGTGGGATACTACAGTATTTTCGAAGTATTTGACATTTTATACTTTTTCTATGTTTTATACACGTATTTGACGTTTACAACTTTTCGACAGTCGAAAACCTAAAAACTGTCCAGCAGACCATCTCTGATTGACGGTGAAATTTGTGAGTCCAAAAACTTACGTGACAATTAATTTTCAACATATGCACTTTGCTTGCGGGGAGTGACCTTCGAAGACCGATATGATGGTCAGTTTTTTTTTCAGACCGAATTTAAGAACTGTCAGAGCTGAAATCGAGAGTTTTTTTTTTAATATTTCAGCTGCAAATAATGTAAATAATTTTTTAAAGGCAACCAAATTTTCGAAACAAATTTTTAAGGAATTTTCGACCAATAAAAAGAAAAAAATAAATTTTTTAAAATTCTGCTCGACCAAAAAATGTCGAAATTTTTACAGAAAATAATTCACCTCATAGATCAAAAATTGATCATACAATTTTGTCCAAACTTTACAAATACCTAATATCAGTATCAGTGACAGGCCATGTGTGAAAATGGACAGTATCGTCCCACTCCATCAAGTGTCTCCCCCACAAATAAGCGTCCGATTGTCTTCAAATTGTTCACATCCAAATATTTCTACTAACACAAGGTCTGATGTGAAGAAGGAATATATCGGTCCACTCCTTCTGGTAATTCCCCCACAAAGCGTCACAATTTTGAATATTCATGAAGTTCACGAAAAACACGAAATTAACATCCGATTCCATTTAGACTTGGCACATCTCAATATTTTCATAAACACAAGATATTTTATAAATATGGTAGAGATCGCGTCATTTCTTCTGGTACCTCCCTCACAAGGGGTCAAACTTTTGAATAACCAAAACGATCATAAAATTCAAAATAAGCATCCGGTTCTCTTCAAATTACACACATCACAATATTTTTATTAACCCAAGGTCTGGTGTGAAGATGGTATATATCGGTCCACTCCTTCTGGTACCTCCCTCACAAAGGGTAACAATTTCTATGAAGCTCATAAAACACGAAATTAACATCCGATTCCATTTAGACTTTGCACATCTCAATATTTCCATCAACACAAAATCTGTTATAAAGATGGAATATATCGGTCCACTTCTTCTGGAACCTCTCCACAAAGGGTCAAAATTTTTAATATGCATGAAACTCATAAAACGTGAAATTAACATCCGATTAAATTCAGATATGGTACATCTCAATATTTCCATCAACACAAGATCTGCTATAAAGTCGGTACAAATCGGACCATTTCTTCTGATATCTAGTCCACATAGGGTTCACGATTTTTGAAAAGTAAAACGCTCAATCTTCAAATATCACACGCCAAATATTGTTTTGCTAACGCAAGATCTGTTGTGAAAATGATATACAGGGTGAGATGAAAAAACTGCAACCAACTCGCCCGACAGCTGTCAAAATTATTCCAGTGACAGCTCATTATACTGTTTAGATGCGTACAAACGCATTTTGGTGGATTGGATTTTTTTATATTTTTATTTATTCTAGATATATTTTAGAGATTTTTAATTAATGTCGACAATTACATATGAATGGTATGTATTAAATTTAATTTATTTTTAAATAATCAAAGTTTTATAAGTTTATAAGATATTTTGAATTTGTTTTAGAGTCCAAAGAAGAAACTCTTAATAGAGGAAATGAAATGAAAAAATGTTTTGATTTCAACAAATTGGACAAATTGTTCAACAACCAGGTGGTAATTTCGTAAAAAGATGGCCAAGACGAAATAATGAAAGAAGCAACAAACAATCATTGTACACACGAAGATTGAAAATTCGGCATAATTTTTAAATAAAGTAAAGGAACCGTCAATATTAGAATAAAATTGTGGTTTGTAAAAGTTCTTATACATTCAAATCGCCTTAACATTTGTTTAATTTTAATTTTTACTCTATAAATTAAAATGTTTATATACATAAATCTTAATAAAAAAAATCAATCTTTGTTAGTTTCCCAAAAAAAAAAAAAAAAATATGGAAAGATCAAACATCTTTGTGAATATAGCTTTAGAATTAATAACGAACTACTTATCAAAAATATATAAAAATAAAATATTTTAATCAAAATATAATAAAGTACGTTTTTTTTTTAAAGAAAAATAATATGCATTACAAAAAAAATGTAATTTTTATTAAAAATATCTACAACACCATGTAAGAATAATAAAAAGCTGAACCCTCCTTCTAAACCCACGAAACGAAAAAAAAAACAAAAATATTCAAAAAAATTAAATCTAACAACTTAATTTTACATAGTATAAAATAAAAAAATGTACTATACATAAATTTTTTTTTCATTTAAAAAAAAAAAAACATTTATCAAATTATGAAAAAAACTCTACTCTTAATATTTGTCCTTTTAGTGAAAGCAAGAAAGTATTAACCAAAATGAATTAAAACGATACTTTTATTTTTAAAACAAAAATATATTAAATGTAACTATACAAAATATTATGATTAAAAATAAAATCAATTATTAAATTATAATAAACAAATAAAAAGATATCATGAAAAAAATATTTATTTTAATCAATATTTACGTTAACTCTCTTCTACAAAAATGTTTGATCGTAGTTTTTATAACCAGCCACATAAAATGGGACAGTGGCACTTCACTACGAATTAGACTTGTTTCTATGCTGATTTGAAAATTTGCAACAAGTTTTCCTGAAACAAAAATAAATGCATTTTTCACTTTAAATTCTATTTCACATTAGTCGAAAGAATGGGTATCAATCTGAACAGACAGGTCCAGGGCTTAAAGTACGACTTTACATGGTGACATAAAAAAACTACAACAAAGTCAAACGACATAATTTTTAAATTTATTTATAAATTTTATTGAATGAAAGCAAAAAATATCGGAAATATCATCAAATTTTAGAATAAGTTTATATTTGTTCGAATTGGTCACCTTTGGCACGAATTATGACCTTCAAACGGCCAATAAACCGCCATACGCCGCCCGAAAGTTGCTCTGCGGTATTTTGACCCATTCCCAGCGAAGCGCTTGCTTGGGGTGATCGACACATTGGTATTTTTTAGTGCCAACCTTGCTTTCCAAAATACTCCAGACGCAATAGTCAAATGGATTGGTATCCGAAGATTTTGGTGGCCATTGTGCGCTGGAAATGAAGCGAGCAACCTTATTTTGTAACCATTCTTGAGAGGCGCGTGCTGAGTACTGTTGGATTGTCCAAGGTCTGCGGCCAAAATGTTTGCGAGTCCAAGGCTTTAATACATCCTCCAGAATATTTTCGAGATAATATTCGGCAATAAATTCTAATGCCATGGGCTGTTATGGCGGCCCACACCATTACCATGGCCGGCGCTTGAGTTCTGGTGGTCCAACGAAGGTGCACATTATCAGCGGACCTCTTTGGCAAGTAAACACGATCATTTTGTTTGTTTACAAACTGCTGGACAACGAATGTTTTATCATCGAAAAAAAAAAAAACAAATTCGGCAGTTCACCACTTTCGGCCAAGCGAAGCAACTCTTTGCCTTTTTTGAGTTTATTTTCTTCCTGTTGCGGTGTAAGTTTTTGCACCTTTTGGAATTTTAATGGCTTTATCCCGAGTTCATTTTTCAATATTTGCCGAATGAAATATTGCGATATTTTCAGCTCACGAGCCACTTTTCGGCCACTGGACGCGGGTTTCGATCAAGTCGCTGTTTTTGCTTTTCGAACCATTTCTGCTGATGTTGCTGTTTTCTTCCGTCCACTTCTTTGACGTAGGGCAAGTATCACGGTAACGAGCGAGCGACGCAAAAGGTTTATTCACATTAAAATGCTGGAGTGCTTTAACGATAGCCACTTGGGTTTTCCTGCCAAATATCAAATTCCATCACGAATAATTTTTTTCTGCAAAACTCTTAGCAAAATGTTTTTGTACGCTTGTAAACAATATAATGAGCTGTCACTGGCATAATTTTTACAGCTATCGGTCGAGTGGCTTAGAAATGACAGCATTCTGTAGTTGGTTGCAGTTTTTTCATCTAATCCTGTAAATGTTTATTGATTTTCTGAAACAAAACCCTAATTTTTTCAAACAATATTAACCACCTACCTTATTATTGACCAAAGAGTTGATGGAAAATTACAATACAAAAGATTTGTTCGATTTTTAAATACTAAGTATTCAGTTACTTTTATTGTTTTTTTTTATTTATTTTTTTCTTACAGTTTTATTTATTTTTGTTAAAATTATTATTTTTAATTAATTTTTTTTCGCATATTATTACTTAAGTAAAATATGTATATAGAAGTAATAATTATGATTATATATATATAAAATACATTTGACAATATCACAACTGTACATAATTTAAAATTATCTTTTGTTTTTTGTATCGCTCACATTAGTAATAATTTCAATTGGCTATACATATATATCATTTTATATCTTCGATTATAGTTCGTTTCTAACTTTAATATGTCTTTTTAGGTTTATGTGTTTTTTTCTTTTTATAAATATAAAAAAAATTGAAAAAAAATATATATCTGCTCAGTTTAATTTCATACAATATTTATAGGAAAATTATATACAGGGTGTGATTTAAAATGAATGGATATAATCATCATCCATGCCAAGAAGAAACGACGGAAGCTTTGATCTGTAAATTTTGCTAGTCGGCTCTGTCGTTGCAACTATTAGACATAATTTGGGATTTTTTTAACAACTTGCTTTGGAACCGATGGATATTTTTAACGCATGCAAAGAACAAACAAGGTCGACTTTAAAAACGATGCATTTTTGAAAACTATTGCAACAATATCTAAACACCTACAAAGTTTCAATAAGTTTTGGAAGCTAGCCATTGTAATAACATCACAAATATTCTTTGTATTATTAAAGCTTATGTTTGCAACGAAAATCAAAAATTTAAAGAAAGGTTAAAAAGCTATTTTTTGGTTGTTAAAAAAAGATGAGGAAAAAGATCTATATTTTTAAAACGAAAAAATTGAAATTAAAAGTTTAAATAAAAAACCAGTAAGGAAAAGTCAAATGTCGGGCGGGCCCGACTTTATGATACCACTATGCCTTTTTAGCAGAGCTCCCGCAACAAAAAAATTTATTTGGAGTAGATCATAACACCTCTCAACATTTGGCACTTTTGCCATTGGCTATGGCCTGAAACCTGACTGGGCTAAGAAGGATATACGTGATTTTACAGATGCCGATATGGAGCGGTTTTTAGATCAATGGGAGGTAAGTTGCAATACGACTTCGTCAAAAGGAAAGTAGACTTCCATATACGCTAATTTTACAGGAAGATGAAGAAGATGAAGAACACCTCTCAACAGCGGGAACTAATAAATGTTAGGCATATCCAATTCTGAATCGATTTTCACTTAATTTGACGGAGATATTTTTATTTTTTATACCAAAAAACATTGCATGATTAATTATCCGTCTCGAAGTGAAAAAATATATATATCGGAGAGGAGTTGGACCAAATGGAAACGTCGTACGTCCCGAAATTCACTCCATTTGGGTTGATATTAGCCATTATTTGCACACTAAACCTGAAATCGGATTAATGATCTTAACCGATCTCGATAAAATTTGGCAAAGGTATTTCCGAGCTCTATAATATATATGGTACCAAATATCATTCTTGTGAAGTGCATATTAGAAATGTGAGGAACTTAAACCCCAAAACCGGATGAAACATATATATGGGAGCTAAAGCTATATCTGAACCGATTTTCGGCAAATTCGACGTAGTTGCTTCTATGCTGAATTCCGTCGGAAGTGCCACATTTCAGGTCATATGGACTGATATTGGTCATTTTATGCACAATTAGCCCGAAATCGGTTAAAGATATATATGTGGGAGCTATATCTAAATCTGAACCAATCTCGATACAATTTGGCAGAGGTATTTTTAGGCTCCATCTGATATCTGGTGCAAAATATCATTCTTGTGGGGTGCCTATTACGGATATGAGGGACTTGAACACCAAATCAGATGAAACATATGTATGGGAGGTATGATTATATCTGAACCGATTTTCAGCAAATTTGATGTACTTCCTTCTATGCTGAATTCCATCGGAAGTGCCAAATTTCGGGTCATTTGGACTGATATTGGCCATGAAGTGCATAATTAACCCGAAGGTTGATGGTATATATGGGAGCTATATCTAAATTTGAACCGACTCTCATTCTCATCAATAGGGCTCGTCCTTGGGCCAAACAAAAATTGTTTTGAAAATTACATCTCAATTGGATGCGACACCATTTTGTTCACAAGAATACATGGATAGACGGACGGACTGACATGCATAAATCTACTCAGAAAGTGTTTCTGTGAAGATCCTCAAAAGTAACTATGGGTCTATATCGCTTCCTTCTACATGTTACAAACAAATGCACAAATACATTATACCCTTACCTTAGGGTGTAATTATATAAACCGTCGCCTTTGGTAAATCTTATCGACTATATAACTCTCTAACCCACTAATTTCGTTTTCGTAAAGCTACCGAAAAATTTCGGTAATTCTGTCTGTAACTAGCCAAAGAATTGCGCTCCTGTGCCTGAATTTTTGCTCTTTGAAAACATGAAAGATCGCCTCGAATGGGATATTTTTTTTTCGATTTGATTTTTAATTTCATATCTTCCAAATAATGCCTTGTTTTGATCTATATAAAGGGTAAATAGATCTTACTACAGAAAATACATAAAGGTGCCTATATCCGCTCAAGACCTGTAGATAGATCAATTGTATCAATTGAATCAATGGTATCAATTGAATGGCAAAAGAAGGTCAATTACTTCCAAAACACTATAGGTATTAATTTTTTAGTAGAAGGCTTTTACTGCTCAGTTCTCTAAATAATTTTAAATATTTTTAACATAGAGGGTACTTAGATATCCACGGTGGACTTCGGTACTTTCTGAATGAAGATATGCAAGAAAATTTAAAAAAAACGTAATTTTCATGTTGATATTTGAAGAAGAACTATCTTTTAAGATGTTTAAAATGATGAGCATACTTTTAGGCGTTTTTAACAGAAATTAATACATGCCAACTATTTTCAAGCAAAACAATATTTTTCTTTTAATTTCCTCTTGGAAAAGTTCCTTATAATAATAGTAGTTTTGGTGGATCTTCATTGGAAGATATAAAGCTTTTAATAAAATCCATAAGAGAATTATTAAAGAACATCTGGTTTCTTTTTTTGTGACAAATTTTACAAAAAACTTTTCTCTCAATTTTATCCATTCACTTCGATTACACCCCGGTATACAATGAAAAAAAAAAAACTTTTCAAACTTATCATAAATAAATTACAAATATAGTCTTAATACAAATATTTAAAAAACATACCTGTGACAAAAAAAAAAAAAAAAAATATGCTGCGCGGAAATTAGTTCAGAAAATAAAAATATAAAATTAAGACTAAATCTCTTAAAATATGTAGCATAAAAATTAGTAATTCAAATCGTCAGCCGGTAATGAAAACATGTGTGCCTCTTAAAAGTATAACAAAATAAACTATTTCTTCAATGTGTTTTACACATTCTTTTTTGTTTTTGAAAATATTCTACAACTAACAAAATAATAATAAAACACAAAAAAAAATTCTCATACAATATCACCTGGGGCACCATAATTCAAGCCATTATTACGATGGTGACCAGGTGCATGATGATGATCCATCTGATGATCCTGTTCCATTTGTTCTTTTAGAATTTCCAACTCACGTATACCCGATACGGTTACCTCGTATTTATGGGTCACCAGTGACCGATAGAAATGTATGGCAAAAGCCAGGAAGATAACCAGTACCGGTATAAGTACAATACACGCCGACCATGCCGCCGGCTGACTAAGATCGTAGAATTTCACCCAACACAATATGGCAATTTCGAGTAGGAAGAGTATCAGACCCAGGAGTGTGGAAAAAGCCCATGCTGTTTCTATGTACCAATGGAGACGTTCATGCGGTGATTCATGTACCAGGGAGATACTATGTAAATTGCATACAGTCTCGATATTGGGCAGTATACAGGTACTAATCATCAGGGCCAACATGTGCACGGCGACGAGCAGTGTCGTGCAAATGGCAAAGGCAACCAACATGCCGGCGGGTACTTGGGTATCATTGTTCAGTTGGACTTCTACCATGGCAACCTGCAAGAGGGGAGATACGGAGAAATAATTGTCAAAAAAAGGAATGACCGACAATAAGAACAATAACATAATAAAAATGGCGTTTAAGAGAGGGAGAGAGAGAGAGCGGGAATGAAATACATTATTCAAACAAAAAAACTTTTTTTGCTGCTTTGTAAGCCTTAGTGTTATTACTTTGAACAAAGAAGATCCTAGAATCAAATTCGCAAATTTTAGAAGTAATCCTTACATGAGTAATCCTTAATGTGAGAATATTTGTGAGAATATTTTTTCTATCTCATATTTTACAATTGAATAGTCTCTTTTTGTTGGCCATATAGAAAATTTCATTCATTCTATTTGTTGGCAATACACCTTGCCAATTTTTTCCCAACGCTACATATATATAACCGTATCTATTATCGTTTATCTGTCTATAAATACATAACATCATGTGCTAAATACTACATAATTACTAATTAAGATTATTTCCCGCTATTCGATCAGAATTGTCAAAGTAAACCCAAACTATAATATATAAATGTGTTTGAAATCACAGGTAAATGGGGTTTGAAATTTATTTTTAAATGTTGCAGATGGCTGGTTGGTTTTAAAGAGATCGGGAACATTATTAACAAAAGGCATGTAAAACGAGAATAGAATGAGATAGAACTTTGATTTTTCCGCACAGACAAACATTAGTTAATCCAGCTGAGTTTTCGCAAAAATCGACAAACAAATTAAATATAACTAGGAATTTATTATCAAAAATTAAAGCTATCAGGACTATCTTTCAAAATATTTAATATTTTTTTAAAAAATGATTTCTGACATTTATTAAACCATATTTTTACATTATCAATATGTAACTATCGGAAACGTTTTAACAAAAAACCTAAACAACTATGTTCAGAGGGAGATGAAAAAACTGCAACCAACTTCCGACTGCTGTCATTTCTAAGCCACTCGTCCGACAGCTGATAAAATTATTCCAAAAGCAGTTTGGTGAGAATTTTCCAGAAAAAAATGCTATTCGTGATGGAATTCAAGCATGATAGTGTGATTTTATTACATTCGTTAGAGTACTCCAGCATTTAAATGTGAATAAATCTTGTGTGTGGAAGGAAGAAAACAGCAACATCAGCAGAAATGGTTCGAAAAGTAAAAAAAGCAACTTGATCGAAACCCGCTTCGCAGTGGCCGAAAAATGGCTCGCGAGCTGAACATATCGCAATATTCCATTCGGTAAATATTGAAAAATGAGCTCGGGGCAAAGCCATTGAAATTCCAAAAAGTTCAAGATCTTACACCGCAACAGAAAGAAAATAGACTTAGGAAAGGTTGCTTCGCTTGGACAAAAGTGGTGAACTGCCGAATTTGGTTTTCTCCGATGAGAAAACATTCGTTGTCCAGCAGTTTGTAAACAAACAAAATGATCGTATTAACTTGCCAAAGAAGTCAGCTCAAAAAGTGCATCTTCGGTTGGCCACCAAAACTCAAACACCGGCCATGGTGATGGTGTGGGCCGCCATAACAGCCGATGGTCACTCTTCGCTCGTATTAATCACCAGAATAAATGCAGAATATTATGGCGAAAATATTCTGGAGGGTGTATTAAAGCCTTGGGCACGCAAACATTTTGGCCACAGACCTTGGACATTCCAACAGGACTCAACCCCATCGCACACTCAGCACGCGCCACCCAAGAATGGTTACAAAATGACGTTCCTGGCTTCATTTCCAGTGCACAATGGCCACCAAAATCAGCGGATACCAATCCGTTGGACTATTGTGTCCGGAGTATTTTAGCACTAAAAAATACCAAAGTTTCGATCATCTCAAGCAAGCGCATCGCCGGGAAATACCGCAGAGCAATATTCGGGCAGCGTGTGATTGCTTCATTGCCCGTTTGAAGGCCATAATTCGTGCCAAGGGTGACCGATTCGAACAAATTTAAACTTATTCTAAAATTTGATACTATTTCCGACGATTTTGCTTTCATTCAATAAAATTAAAAAAAATATATATATTAAAAATTATGGCGTTTGATTTTGTTGCAGTTCTTTTATCTCATCCTGTATACTTTGAAAAATCAAATATCGATATTTTAAATATCCTCGATTTTTGTTATTAAATTTTCAAAATATTTTTGGAAATCCACGTTTATTGCCTAAAAATCCTTGAAAAAATATTTTAAAAAATCCTCGATTATGGCTTAACAATATTCGAATGTATCTAAATAAATCTACGATTCTCGTATTAAAATTCCTTGAAAATGTATTAAAAAATAATCCTCGATTGTTGCTTTAAACGTCCTCAAAAAATGTTTTGGAAAATCCACTATTTTTGGTTTGAAGTTTTATTTAAAACAACAAGACTTAATAAAATATGTTTATGAAATCCACGATTATTGCCTAAAAGTCCTTGGGAAAATATTTAAAAAACAAAATCCTCGAAAAAAATCATTTTTTTAATTCACGATTATTGCTGTGAAAGTTCTTAAAAAATCCTTTCAAAGATCGATATTTTTCAAAATCTTCGAACTTTTTTATAAGTCTTGGGAAAATATTTTTCGTCTAAAAGCTTTTGAAAATTATCCTTTAAACATCCCCATTTCTTGAAGAATATGGTTCAAAATCTTAAAAAAATATTTTTCGAAAATCCACAAAAATGTCTGGGACAAAAGGAAATTGCCACTTCGACGTAACTTATTGTTTTATTTCCCACAGTTATTGGCAAAAAAAAGTGATCGGATGTTTAAAATGGGAAGTGTAATTAAGAAAAAAAAAACGTCGATCAATCGAAACGTTTTGATGATAACAAACAAATTCTATTTTGAAGATTTAACGACACAGGAAATCATCTGAGATAAAAAAAGAAATACACCGATGAAAATCTAGGAGAACACAAAAGCAAATCATACGACAGACAAAATTTAATCACGAGGCAGCTGATAGATGCATCCAAGCACAATAAATATTTTCAGCGTCTCTTTCTTTCATCGAATTTTCACAATGAAAGAAAATATAACAGCCGTTATTTTAGAGGAGAGCAAAATCGATTCACATTATTTGTGAGGGTGCCCCCCCCCCCCCCCCCCCCCCAATATCTTAATTTAAAATTTTATTCTAAATTTTAATTGAGGTGACACACAGACAAATTAATGAAAATAAAATGTATCGTTGTGTGTAGTTGGCGGGCGGACTAATTACGTCATTCCTTACGTTGTCGTCGAACATATTTCGTGTTTCGTTTTTTTTACATTTTTCTTCTCATTGTCACATTATGAATTTAATTTAGCAATTGCTGCGATTCTAGGGAGCAATGCCCAAAGTTCAAGGTAATGAACTGAATGATCGCTGACACTTAATTAATTGTTTTTTTTTTTGTTTGTCGAAAATTCGTTGTCTTAGGTAAGATAAAAAAAATAATAATAATTGTTGATTTTTTTAACAAATAATCCCACATAAATGCAAAAATTATCATTCCATTTTCAAGGGGCTTTACAGCCATATTCTTTTTTGAGATATTCATTAAGGATTATTAGAAGAAAAGTCGTGGATTTTTTAAGGAACACTGTTCTGAGCAATTTTGGAAAATAATCGTTTCTCAGAATGTCTTTATCTTGTCGGAAATAGCATCAAAATTTAGAATAAGTTTAGATTTGTTCGAATTGGTCACCTTTGACACGAATTATGGCCTTCTAACGGCCAATGAAACCGTCACACGCTGCCCGAATGTTGCTCTGCGGTATTCTGACCCATTGCCGGCGAAGCGCTTGCTTGAGGTGATCGACACTTTGGTATTTTTTAGTGCAAACCTTGCTTTCCAAAATACTCCAGACACAATAGTCCAACGGATTGGCATCCGGAGATTTTGGTGGTCATTGTGCGCTGGAAATGAAGAGAGTAACCTCATTTTGTAACCATTCTTGGATGGTGCGCGTCCAAGGCTTTAATACGCCCTCCGGAATATTTTCGCGATAATATTCGGCATTTATTCTGATGCCACGGTCGATAAATACGAGCAGAGAGCGATAATCGGCTTTTATGGTGGCCCACACCATCACCATGGCCGGCGCTTGAGTTATTGTGGTCAACAGAAGGTGCACATTTTCAGCTGACCTCTTTGGTGAGTAAACGCGATCATTTTGTTTGCTAACAAACTGCTGGACAACGAATGTTTTCTCATCGGAGAAAACCAAATTCGTCAGTTCACCACTTTTGGCCAAGCGAAGCAAGTCTTTACGACATTATTATTCACCGGAATTGTTTCAAATTTGGTATTTGAAGTTCGTCATGGATACTACAGCCTATGACAGACAATTGTGTGTGCAGGTCCACGTTTTGGTATGACCCTCATACAATGGTACCTCCCTGTATCCGATATTTTGACAATTTTAGCTACATTATTCACCAATTTTTTTTGTCAAGTTTCGCATTTGAATATGATCACATTCCAACAGGACTCATCACGAACTCACTCAGCACACGCCACCCAAGAATGGTTACAAAATGAGTTTCCTCGCCGGAACTCTTTCATATTTCGTATTTGAATTTCCTAATAAGTACTATAGTCTATGACAGAAAATTATCTATGCAGGTCTTCGTATAGCTCCCATATAACGGTACCGCCCTATATTCGGTATTTTGACGATTTCGAAATGATAGTCCCTAATGGGTACTACAGCCTATGAAAGAAAATTTTCTTATGCAGGTATACGTCTTCGCAAATCTTCCAAATATCGGTACCTCCCGATATTTGGAATTTTGATGATTTTAGCGACATTATTCACCCGTATCGTTTCAAATTTCGTATTCAAAGTTTGTAATGAGTACTACAACCTATGCCTAAAAACTTCATATTTAGATTCACGTCTTCGTATTCGGTATTTTGATGATTTAGCTACATTATTCCCCGGGATTGTTTCAAATTTGGTATTTGATGATCTTAATGGGTACGACAGCCTATGACAAAGAAATTACTTATGCAGATCCACGTCATCGTATAGCCTTCGTATAAAGGCATAACGGTATTCTTTAGCAATTTTTTTTTTAAATTTTCAAGTTCCTTCCAAATGGTGAAGGGTATTAAAAGTTCGGCCCGACCGAACTTAGCTAGTTTTTTTAATATTTTTGTGGGTTTTTTCTTCAAAATTGCGAGTCAGTTGTGGATGTTTTAAGAATCCTTTCTTTAATGTTTCTTAATTATATCCGTGGATATGAGTGGATTTTTTTTGAGGATATATGAGTTTTTTAAGAATCTTGGAATTTCTTTAAGTAAATGTTTTTTTAATTTTTCATAGATAGCCGCGAATTTGTTAGAAATCATAAATTCTGTTTCAAAAAGGGATTTTTAAAAATATTTCAAAATACTATAAAATATGGGAGTCCTAAGTTTATTTTTCCCACAATTCTATTTGGAGAGCCGTTCTAATGAATATTTTTAATTGAGTTCAGACAAATTTAAAATAAGCCCGGAGAAATTCGAAACAATATGTTCTGAAATTTTTAAATTTTCATTAAATTGTCTGGTCGAAATATTCGAAACTCAGAAACTTTCTCACAAATTGGTGATTATTTTCACTGAACTCTCTCTCTCTCCCCCTCTCTATAAAACAAAAATATGCTACATAAATCTACTCACCATTGCAAAACCCGACAACAGGGCCGATGTCTTACTGGACGCCTTCAGTTTGGCACGACTCAGCTGCAACTTGCGCCACGACAAATAGCTGGGAGAGTGCAGATCTTCGCCGGACTGCGACATACTGCTGCTGGTCTGACGTCTCGGCTGGAAACGAGAAAATGGTGTAAATGAACGTAAGGTATTAAAGGGCTGTGAATTGGCTGATTGGGATTGCGTTTGCGGCTGAAGCGTTGTATTTAGCAGTGAAGCGGGAAAGCCTACCGATGACAGGGCAACAGCGGCGGGTGCGACGGCAGCTAGCGCCGAGGTGGGCGGTGCCGACAGAAACCGCTTTGCACTGAGATAACGCGAACTATCACCGAAATTCGATTTGGGTGTGATTAGACCCGAACTCGAGGCACCCGAACGTGTTTGGAAGCGTAGCGGACGACACGAGTCACAGAGTTTGTAGTCGTGTGGCAGATGTGACGACGATGCGGTGGAGCCGGGGCCACCGGGTGGTGGGGAACGTTCCGTTAGAAAATGATGATGGTGATTCTCAACAAATGCTGTTGTGGCCAAAGGCTGTGTCGTAGGGGGCGTGGATATGGACCGATTGTAGTGCTGCGTTGACCCAGTCGCCGTTGGTAAGTTGTGTAGCAGGCCGCCGTTTGTGGTGCGCGTGGGTCCTGTTAACCGTGCAGATGTTGTTGTCGACTGGCGATTTGATGAGCTGCTGCTGCTGATGGCTGTGGATGCGGCCACAATTGAGGCTGGTATTATGGTGGCTGTTAGTGTGGTCGTGGAGGAACCAGCCGTTAAAGGCACCGTGGCATCGTCACTGAACATTGGGCCATCGTCGTCGTCTTCATCGGCATCCTCAATGTCGGTATCATCGCTTTCACTGTGACTTTTTTTAAGACGTTGCGCGTTGACGGTGGCATGTTTTTGTGGTGACTTCCGCCGTCTTTGTTGCTTGTCTTGCGAGGTGGGACTGCGTCGTCGTCCCATAAACTGACAATCGCCGAGCGTACTTTGATTTAGCAAAAGACTATTCTGACTGAGATTCAAATGTTGGGAATATCTTAAATTCGAATGCATTGTGTGGCCACCACCATCCGAAACGTTGGCAACAGCACCGCCACCAACAGCCGTTGTGGGTACAGCTGTACCGGCCGCCACTAGGAGGCTGTGGTATGGTGAGCTTGGTGCCGAGGCGACACCACCAGCACCAGACGCTGTGGCTGTTGTTGGCGATATTAGCGATATTGTGGATGTTTTTAATAAGTCATTTTCGGGCGTTGTCTGACGTGAGGCCGACGTACGCTGTTGATGAGCCTTCTCACGTCGCGTTCGGCGATGATCACGGGGTGGTGGTGCCAGGGGCTGAGGTGTGGTTTGTGGTTTCTGTAAATGTTGCTGCTGCTGTAAATGCACGGGCAACATGATGTTGGTGCCTTAAGGGTGGCGAAGTCGTCTGCCAACCCACCCCTCACTACTCTGCCGAGAAAAATATGGTAACAAAAAAACGCTTGGGTATCTGCAAATTCTAGGTGAGAATTCTATAACAAACTATGACCAAGTGTTTGTGGCACAGATTTATTTTTTGAAAATATTTCGAAATTGTGTTTTTTTTCGTGTCGCCAAACGAAAATATTGCAGACGGCGGGCAAACACTCCGATGCACACTAAGGCGCACTGAATTATTAAATTAATTTCAAAGACGATGGCAAAAAGATTTTTGTTGGTTCTGAGGCGGTCTGGCTTTTGATATATTAGTTTCTCGTCGTCGTCTCCTTTAGATAGCCTCCTCTCCTCTAGCTTTTGTACATTCTTGGCTGATGGGTTATGAGTCAGTCGTCAGTGGGACACTTGGACCGCTTGCTTGCTATTTAGTTTGCTAAGGTTACACGCTGCTGACGACGATGACAACGATCTTGTTCTAGTTGTTGCTGTTGTTGTTGTGGTTATTGTTGATGATGTCCGAAATTATGTTACGTTAATAATTGCAAAACTATTTGTATTTGGGATCTGCTGCGGTAGTGTTTCTTACTGTTGTTGTTGTTCCTGTAATTTGGTTTATTTTCTTTGGCTTTGTCTTTTTTTTTAATTGAGAAAAATATTGTTTTTTTTTTTTTGTTTTTATAAATTTCTTAACATTTTGCAATTAATTAATGTGTCGATAATATTAATTGCGTTGAAGTGTCCGACACCGACGGAATGTTTGATATTTGTTATTATTTTGGTTTTTTTTATAGTTTTTATTGTCTTTTAAGATATTTTGTAACTAAAAATATATTAGAACAATTTAAATAGAATCAATCGCTATTGCCGAGAGCTGGATAGTCTCAGCTAATATTCACTTATTGCATTATGGTTATTCAATCTGTTCAATCTTCATAGGATAGGTTCCGAAGGAATGGGCCAATATTATAGGCATTGAATATTGTTACCCTTTGTAGGAGAGATACCAGAAGGAGTATGCCGATATCTACAATCTTTATAACATATCTTGTGTGGGAAGAGATATTTTATGTGCGAAATTTGAAGAGAATCCGATGCTTATTTCGAGTTTTATGAGAGTAATAATTATTCAAAATGTTGACCCTTTGTGGGAAGGTACCAGAAGAAATAGTCCGATTTCTACCATCTTCGTAACAGATTTTGTGTTGATGGAAATATTGAGATGTGCCAAGTCTGAATGGAATCGGATGTTAATTTCACGTTTTATGGGCTTTGGGGATATTCAAAATTCTGCCACGCCCGAATTTGGAATAGGCACGAAGCTCGTAAAATTCGAAATAAGCATCCGGTTGTCTTCATGAGATGTTCCAAGTCTGAATGGAATCGGATGTTAATTCGCGTTTTATTGGCTTTGGGGATATTCAAAATTCTGGCACCTCCCCCTCAAAGGGTCCGAATTTGGAATATGCACGAATATATTCAAAATATTGGATATTCAAAATTCTGTCACCTCCTCCTCAAAGGTACCGACTTTGGAATAGGCACGATGCTGGTAAAATTCGAAATAAGCATCCGGTTGTCTTCATGAGATGTGCCAAGTCTGAATGGATTCGAATGTTAATTTCGCGTTTTGTGAGCTTCGTGGATATTCAAAATTATGTCACCGGATGCTTATTTCGAATTTTACGAGTTTCATGCCTATTCCAAATTCGGACCCTTTGAGGGGGAGGTGCCAGAAGAAGTGGACCGATATATCCTATCTTCACAACAGATCTTGTGTTGGTAGAAATAATCGGATGAGTAAAATATTAAGAGACCGGATGCTAATTTCGGATTTTGTAATCGTTTTGGTTATTTAAAACGTTGACCCTTTGTGGGAGAGGTACCAGAAGGTATGGTCCGATCACTACCATCTTTATAATAGCTCCGATGGAAATATTGAAATGTAGCAAGTCTGACTGGAATCGGATGTTAATTTTGCGTGTTATGAGCATCATGGATATTCAAAATTATAACCTTTTTGTGGGGGAGATACCTGAAGGAGTGGTTCGATAAATTCCATCTTCACATCCGACTTTGGTTTAATGAAAATATTGTGATGTGTGTAATTTGAAGACAATCGAAGGCATTTTATAGGAGTTATAATTATTCAAAATGTTGACCCTTTGTGGGGGAGGTACTTGATGGAGTGAACCGATATTGTCCATGATGCACTGCAGCACTGATGTAAATATTAGGACTCGCAAACTTGGAGCAAAATCGGATTATCCTTTCTCTTTCTGTGCAGTAAATGAATTTCTTGGAAAACTTCGACCTTTTATGGGTGAGGTACCAGAAGGAGTGGGTCGATATTGCCCATCTTCGAACTCGATCTAAGTTTGACAATAAAATTACGATGTACCAAGTTTGGACCAAATCGAATAATCCCTTCGAGACTCCACTACAGCCAGACAGACGGACGGACGGACATCGCTAGATCGACTCCAAATGTCCTGAAACGGCTTTTGTTAAAAGAGACCTAGGGTCTTAAACCGTTATTTCGATGAGGCACGTTTTGGGCGTATGAAATGATATTTATCCTCTCTAGCCATATGGCTGAGGATTTAAAGGTTTTTCTTTTACAGGAGACAACTGCATCTTCTATTTTCCTAAGTGTTCTTATTGTACATTGACTTCTAGATCCTATATTTCTTATACAAGGCCTCAAGATCGTCAGTGGTAAGTCGTCCTCTGAATCCACCAGTTTTTATATATTTCTCTTGGGTTTTCCATTTTTTCCATAAAATATCAAAAGTTCGTCTCTTTTTGTAGAAGAAATAAGATTTTAACATATTTTTATAGATCTCATGGTTTTAAATTTTCTATAGCATAACTTAAAGTCAACTTTTTATAGAAGACATTTTTTTGAAGATCTCTACATCCCCTAATATTTATAGTCCTATTATAGGACATTTATTTTTATTCTAGGTTAAGTAGGCAAACTCAAAAAAACCCAATGGTCTTTTCATATTTACTATAGGTCTCAAGGTCTTCTAATTTTAGAGAAGAGCTCCGGTTCTACGAATTTTCTAAAAGACCTCAAAGTCTTATATTTTTAATAGGAGCCTTTTGGATTTTCTTTCATAGAATACCTCCGGGTTTTATATATTTTGTAGAGGATCTCTATGTATTCAATTTTCTACAGAAGACATGAATGTCTTTTATTTTTACGGAAGACGTTAGGGTCCACTACTTTGTAATATTAGACATCTAGGATGACAATTTTCAGTATTCCAAAAAATAATAGATGGCCCAGAGCATAGTCTTTCTAGTCTAGTTCCTTTTTCATTGTCTCTAGCATATCTCTCTCTCTCTCTCTCCAAGGGCCGTAATCTTTCAAGAGACAAGATAAAGTGTAAATAAAATTGCCTCATAAACTCTAAACAAATATTGAATTCCACCCAACTTGGCTACGTCACAAAAACGTGTCTAATTAACCATTTTTCTTTGCACAAAACACAGATAATGCAAATAAATAATTTCCAATAAATGTCCAGTTAATTTCCGTTGTTGTGATCTGGTATTTTTGTCTTAAAATCTGACTTAAATAATGAAATGAAATTTTCCAATAAATAAAATGTATATGCCTCCTCCGGCGTTGAATCGTGAAAGTCGTTTTCTGTAATTGTAATTTCTTTCAAGCGGATACAAAATATCTTATCAAGATTTGAAAAGTTTTTTTTTTCAAAGTATTGAGTGAAACTAGAAATCAAATTAAGCACTATGTGACTCATAAAGGCCAGAAATTTAGACCAGACTGAAAGGGGGCTTTACTAGAGACCAGAATTCACAATACCGGAACTCAACTTTAAATTTCAGAATATATAATCCTATACAATATATATATACAAAATATCATATTGACATTTATTGATAATTTTGAGGATTTTCTTTTCGCGTTGTGACTAAATTACTTTTTTTTTGCATTTTGAATATTTGTGTGTGTGTGTGTGTTGTTTGATATTACCCAATAACTTCTCAGGGTTTTATGGCCTAATTCATTAAGAAGCTTTGACGTAATTCAATACCAATCCGTATTAGATGTTTGAAATATGCTAATCTGTCCTTTAAGATAAATATCATGTTACAAATGTCCTTGAAGGAAGCTAAAGTGGAAAATGTGGTCAGCACAACTAATCAGGGTAAGTTGTAAGAGTTTTAGAATAAACCGAAGGAATTCTAATTTGAGTGTATGTGTGAATGTAAATATGTTTGTTTACTTATTCCACAAATCGATTCCACTTTGTATTTCAACACGTGAGGGATTGAAATGTATTTGTTATATACAATTATTTATTATTTCATTGTGGAACTTCGTTAAGCACAGTGTTCTACTCTCTGAACCTCTAGACGTCTTTCGTAGGGGTTGGAAATCATATTGATTTTTTTTATTTGATTTTTGATTTCGATTTTGGAGTGAATATTTGCCATAGCCATATTAGCCAGATGCTGTGAAGCTTGACTTGCATGACATGTGGTTTCAACAAAACGGTGCCCCATGCCACACAGCATGCCGATTTATAAAGAGGCAAAATAATCACTCGGGGTCGGTCATTTGGTCGCCTAGATCGTGTGATTTGAGGCTTTTCAACTATTTTTTGTGGGGCTACCTTACCTATACAGGCGAGCCTGCTTCAATTGATGCATTGGAAGACAAAATTGAAGGATTTATTCGTGAGATACCGGCCGAAATTTTGGTAAGAGTATTTGAAAATTGGACTAAGCGGATGGACCATTTAGAACGATGGACCATTTAAAAGACCATTGAGTTTTCTTCCTATTGGAGATTTTCTACAGAAGAAGGTTCCCTTGTATTCAAGAGTACAACAGAAGGAGTCAAACATGTTCTAATATATGTCTCGAAGAGAGTATCCGATTGGATTTAAACTTGTCACATAGTAATATTCGAATCAACTATAGGTCGGGTTTAAAAACGAGCCACAGCGGTCCACCTCTTCTGGTATCTACTATATTTTTATACATTCCACCATTATTCACCGGAAATGTTTCAAATTTGGTTTTTGAAGTTCGTAATATATACTACAGTCTATGATAGAAAATTGTCCGTGCAGGTCAACGTCTTCGTATAGCCCCCATATGACGGTACCCCCCGATTTTCGGTATTTTGAAGATTTTAGCGACATTATTTACCAGAACTATTTTAAATTTAGTATGTGAAGTTCGTAATGAATACTACAGCCTATGACAGAATAATGTCCGCGCAGGTCCACGCCTTCGTATACCCCCCATATAACGGCACATCCCCATGGGTATTTTAATGATTTTAGCGAAATTATTCACCAGCCTCTGACAGAAGGTCCACGTTTTGGTATAGCCCCCATATAATGGTACCTCCATATATTCGGTATTTTGATGATTTTAGCTACATTATTCACCGAAATTTTTTCAAGTTTCACATTATATTGCAATTTTTCCGAAAGGAGTCTTTCAAATCACTAAGAAAACAAAATGTGGCTTAGACGTTCAAAATGAGGTAAATCTGCAAAATACTCAAAATAGGGAAACTTAGTCGTGTGTAAAAATTGGCTTTCCGATTTCTTCCATGTTTTGCTTCAACAAAAATGGATTTTCTCCAAACACCTATCATTGATTTTAAAATATCCTCACGACCAAATCGACTTAAATCATTTACCAAACAGGATAGATTTTATAACTTTGAATGGTCATTATTATACCCTCAGACATATGGCTCAGTTGATACGGCCAAAACGTGCCTCATCGAAATAACGTTTTTAGACCATAGGTCCCTTTGGACCAAAACCGTTTCAGAAAATTTGGAGTCGATCTAACGATGTCCGTCTGTCTGGCTGGTGTGCACGTTAACTCTCGAAGGGAGTATCTGATTTGATCCTATCAAGTTTGGATGGGCAATATCGTTCCACTCCTTCTGGTACCTCCAACACAAAATGTCAACTTTTTCAAAGAAAATAATTTACTGCACAGAAAGAGAAAGGATATTCCACTTTCGCTCCAATTTCGCTCAATGCTAGGTCAAGTGAGAAAATGGACAATATCGATACACTCCATCAAGTACCTCCCCCACAAAAGGTCAATATTTTGAATAATATGTAATGTGATGTTAGTGTCCAATTGTCTCCAAATTACACAAATCACAATATTTTTATTAACCCAAGGTCTGTCAGGAAGATGGAATATATCGGTCCACTCCTTCTGCTAGCTCCCCCACAAAGGTTCAAAATTTTGAATATCCATGAAGCACATAATACACGAAATTAACATCCGATTCCATTCAGATTTCCAACAACACAAGATCTATTATAAAGATGATAGAGATTGGACAATTCCTTCTGGTACCTCCCCCACATAGGGTTCAAGATTTTGAAAAACAAAAACGATCACAAAGTACGAAATAAGCATCCAGTTCTCTTTAAATTACATACATCACAATATTTTTATTAACCCAAGGTCTGGCACATCTCAATATTTCAAACAACACAAGATCTGTTATAAAGATGATAGAGATTGGACAAATCCTTCTGGTACCTCTCCTACAAAGGGTAAACGTTTTGAGTAACCAAAACGATTATAAAATCCGAAATAAGCATCAGGTTCTCTTCAATATAACAAACATCACATTATTTTTATTAACTTAAGGTCTAGTGCGAAGATGGGATATATAGATACATTCCTTCTGCTACCTCCCCACAAAAGGTCAAATTTTTGAATATTCATGAAGCTCATAAAACACGAAATTAACATCCGATTCAATTTAGACTTGGCACATCTCAATATTTCCATGAACACAAGATCTGTTATAAAAATGGTAGAGATCGGGCCATTCTTTCTGGTACCTCCCCCAACATAGGGTTTACGATTTTTGAAAAAAACAAATAAAGCCTTAAACGTTCAAGATACAAGACAAAATTAATACAATTGCTTCAAAATCCCTTTGTCCTACCCTAATTCAAAACCCGTTTTTGTGATTCTTTCTTGGAATCCCTCCTGAAACACCGACGTAGCCAGAAATTCCTTTCGAAATCATTTCGAATGTCCCAAACGACAAAATATTATATTTTTAAGCAAACTTCTCCCACAATATCTATTCGTAGGGGCCCTGGGCTTCCTGGGCTACGTCGGTGATCTGAAATTATTCCATTGTGTTACTTCTCTTACCCATATATTCCACCACGAACTTGTGCAACGGTATTGAAAATATTCTATTTATTGAATGAAAACCACGAAAAATAAACTCTTCTCCCAATTTTTAGAAATTGGAAAGAGAACGCGCGAAGGGGTGAGTGGGGGGGGTCACATCAAATCATTTGTCGTGCCATAAATCACAGAATAACTATTAAGCGCACAATTTCCATACAATTAGATATAATTTTGTTTTAATTGCGGCGATAAATTCGAATCAAATAGAATGCAATTTTCAGTCACTTAGACGCTCGGCGGAACCCGGCGATAAATGGAATGCAAATGTTTTTTTTTCGGAGCAAACAAAAAAAACTATTTCACATGTCGAGAAAAATTCGTTAAAAATTAAATAATTTTTTGTTTGATTCCTTTTTTGTTGTTTTTGTTGATTTGTTTTGATTTTCAATATGTTTTTGAATATTTTATTTATTATTGAAAACACTTTTTTATCCGAGATTCTTTTATCGTTACTATGGCACTTGAGATCTATGGATTAAGGAAAATCTTTGCGGCGTTGATGGAAATGAAACAAGCGGCGTTGGAGGTGTTTCTTTTTTTTTCGAAAATCAAACAAAACTATTTACAGGTGCCTTGAATTCTTCACTGACTCGTCGGCAGCAATTGATGAACGAATGCCAATGAGCAAACGACAGATGGACAGATTGCGAGGTAGATGGATGGATTTGTTTCGGTAATTAATTGTCATTGCTTGAGAAGAGGAACCCAAAATTCCGATAAAGACCGAAGAAGAAGGCAGAGGTTCGCAATAGAAATAAATACGGGCGGGCAGCACCTGATAATGACAATGTTTCAATGCGAATATATTATGTTTTTGTTTTTATTTTTCTTCTTTATTATTTATAGTAAATCGACGAAGCGATTGCCGGGTGCAAATAAAATAATTTAATTTCTTTTTCTTTCGTCTTCTTCATTCTTCAATTCTTCTTTTATGTTAATGGTAACATGTTTATTTTTGTTTTATTTTGCGGTTTTGTTTTAATCACCCCGCTGACCAGCACAAACAACAAGGGTAGGTAGAATTGCTGTTCACTTTGAAAACAACGTTGCTACATAGACCCCACACCACATACGGAATGTTTCGAATATCGATTATTTTTTTCTGTTCTTTTCTTTCAAAAGAAATTTTAAATATTTCAAAACTTTAGGTGACCACAATTTTGCCTGGTGCTTTTCGATATCGCCGTGTCATGCGGTGCCACCGAGCAATTCGACTATTTTTGAGACGCGCTTTTTTCCAACACCGAACTCAACTCGCCTAGAAGTCGCAGGGCTTTGTCATCATCGCGGTTCGCACTCATTTTGACGTTTTGTTTTTCGCTACTACATCAGAGTAATAGTGGCTGAGTGAGCGCGTGTGTGTCTGTGTGTATGTAAATGTGCGGGTCTGAATGCTCGCAAAATGCTACTTCTACAACAAAAGCTTATTGTTTTGTTTGTAATATTGAACAACAACAACACTGAACTGAACACAGTAGTAGTAGTGTTGCCGGTAGTTCTTGACTAAAGATTGCCATGGTTACATTATTTTTGGAACTCCCGACAAATGATGGAGGAAATCCCTAAACAAAAACCCTCTGTTTTCCACAGACTACCTCTAGATCGCCTCTGAAGCTTAGAAAACTTCAGGGTCATCTATAAAACGATAGAAGACCTCCAGCTCTTCTATGGACGATAGCAGGCCGCCAGCTCTTCTAGGGGCCATAGAAGACCTTCCGATCGTCTATGGGCCATAGAAGACCTTCCGATCGTCTATTGGCAATAGAAAACCTTCCGGTCGTCTATGGGCAATAGAAGACCTTCCGGTCGTCTATGGGCAATAGAAGAGCTCCACCTCTTCTATGGGCGATAGAAGACCTCCAGGTCGTCTATGGGCGATAGAAGACCTCCAGGTCGTCTATGGGCGATAGAAGACCTCCAGGTCGTCTATGGGCGATAGAAGACCTTCAGGTCGTCTATGGGCGATAAAAGACATTCAGGTCGTCTATGGGCGATAGAAGACCTTCAGGTCGTCTATGGGCGATAGAAGACCTTCAGGTCGTCTATGGGCGATAGAAGACCTTCAGGTCGTCTATGGGCGATAGAAGACCTTCAGGTCGTCTATGGGCGATAGAAGACCTTCAGGTCGTCTATGGGCGATAGAAGACCTCCAGGTCGTCTATGGGCGATAGAAGACCTCCACAGCTCTTCTATGGGCGATAGAAGACCTCCACAGCTCTTCTATGGGCGATAGAAGACCTCCACAGCTCTTCTATGGGCGATAGAAGACCTCCACAGCTCTTCTATGGGCGATAGAAGACCTCCACAGCTCTTCTTTGGGCGATAGGAGACCTCCACAGCTCTTCTATGGGCGATAGAAGACATCCACAGCTCTTCTTTGGACAATAGAAGACCTCCACAGCTCTTCTATGGACAATAGAAGACCTCCACAGCTCTTCTATGGACAATAGAAGACCTCCACAGCTCTTCTATGGACAATAGAAGACCTCCACAGCTCCTCTATGGACAATAGAAGACCTCCACAGCTCTTCTATGGACAATAGAAGACCTCCACAGCTCTTCTATGGACAATAGAAAACCTCCACAGTTCTTCTATGGACAATAGAAGACCTCCACAGCTCTTCTATGGACAATAGAAGACCTCCACAGCTCTTCTATGGACAATAGAAGAACTCCACAGCTCTTCTATGGACAATAGAAGACCTCCACAGCTCTTCTATGGACAATAGAAGACCTCCACAGCTCTCCTATGGACAATAGAAGACCTCCACTGCTCTTCTATGGACAATAGAAGACCTCCACAACTCTTCTATGGACAATAGAAGACCTCCACAGCTCTTCTATGGACAATAGAAGACCTCCACAGCTCTTCTATAGACAATAGAAGACCTCCACAGCTCTTCTATGGACAATAGAAGACCTCCAGATCTTCTATGGACAATAGAAGACCTCAAGCTCTACAATGTACCATTGAACCCCAAGCTCTTCTGTTCTGCTACGGACCATAGATAACTTCCAGGTCTTGTATGGACCAATGAAAACCTCCATTTCTCCTATTACACTATATATTGCCATATATTTTCTATACAAGATCTCTAAGTCTTCTATTCTCTTTTAAAGAACTCTCGATATTTTATTGTCGTTGGGCTTTCCATTTTTGTCTTCCCGAAATTATGCCTGCCGTTTGTTTTCATTTCAATCTTCTTTAATTGGCAACCCTGGCGTTAGTGGTGGTTTCGCTTAATTTAATGGCAACAATGATGTCGTCATCGTTCATTGATAGTGGAGCAGAGTTGACACCCAAATTGCGCGAGCAGGAGAGAGTGTGAGAAGACCACCAAAAAAGGAGAAATTTCAAAGAGACAAAAGACTAGCAAAAATTCAAGCTTACGTTTGGATAAATGGAAAACAAAAAACAAAAACAAAGCACTATTGTTTTTATTGGATTGTGAAATAACAACTCCAAGGAGGATGGGGTGGAGGTGGGGAGCTGATTTAATAGACCGCCAACACCCTCCTCAAGTCTCGTTTGCCAGCTACAGACAATACAAATAGGTGGGTATTATAATCAATGATGATAGCATAAGTAAATAATTAAGAAAAATAATAATAAAAAAACACAACAACAACAAACAAATGACGAACAGAAATGGTAAAAACAAAAATAGCCACTATAAATTGTAGCAGACAGCAATAACTTGGCTAGTGGCGAATTCTAAGGGCTCTACGATGTTGTTGGAATTGTTGGAATGAAGAATAAATTATGAAAGTGAAAATGTTAAATTGAATCTTAAAAAAAAACGAGTTTCAGGGGTTGTTATAATTGGTATTTGACTTTTCAAAAAAAAAAAATTAAATCGGCTAAAACTCCAAATTATGCATTCGAATAATGCTCTAGAAAAATGGATATATTACATAAAAAACAATAAAAACATAAAAATACCTCAATTGTTGTTAATTAAAAAGGTCAATATAATACGTAAATCGCATTACTATAATTAGGTTATGAAAATATTTGATTTTCCATTTATCGGAATCGAAACTCCAATAAAAACAAATTTAGCCGAGAAATGGATTTTAAAATATTTCGCCTTTTCAAAGAAATATCCAAAAGCCGATAACAACGAACACAAATTAATATCAATCATGTGTTTGTTGTTAATTAATTGATAATGGGGTCGGACCAAAGAGTCAATAGTGTCGTCTCACGACACCCATAAAAACCCATAAATAGTCGTTTACACTCATACACGTTACAGTCAGTGATAGCGAGAGGGAGAGTGAATTTATATTTAATTTAACAATTAGAGAATAGTGGGAGACTGGTAAAAAACACTTTATGCGTAGAAGACCCTAAATCCCAAACGCCCTTAGTTGTGGATTAAGAAGACGACAGTGAAAGGGCTTTTGAAATTAGAATACCAGTGATACAGATATAAAACCTTCCGAAGGGATTCTATAGACCTTCCTAAGAGTTTCTATAGACCTTCCGAAGAGATTCTATAGACCTTCCGAAGTGATTCTATAGACCCCCCACAGATATTCTATGGATACAAATTCTTTATAGGTTTTTCAAAGAATTCCATAGATCTCCCACGGTATTCTATGAATAAATATCCTTTAGAGGTTTTTCCAGCAATAGAAAACCAATAAACTATCCACTGCCTGAGGGGACCTTTTTATACCCTCCACCACAGTATGGAGGGTATATTAAGTTTGTCATTCCGTTTGTAACACCTCGAAATATACATTTTAGACCCCACAAAGTATATATATTCTTGATCAACATAAAATTCTATGTCGATTTAGCAATGTCCGTCCGTCTGTGGAAATCACTCTAGCTTCCGAACGAATTGAAGTAGATTGATAAAATTGTACTCAAATGTATGTTATGTCTGCAGGCCTTTTGGTATTGAAAATGGGCCATGTAGGTCCACGTTTTGGTATACCCCCCATATAACGGAACCTCCCGATATTCGATATTTTGATGATTTTAGCGAATTTATTCACCGGAGTTGTTTTAATTCATTTGGGATTTAAAGTTCGTAATGGATACTACAGCCTAAGACAGAAAATTGTCTTTGCAGGTCCACGTCCTCGTGTAGCCCCCATATAACGGTACCTGCCGATATTCGGTATTTTAATGATTTATTTCATTTTTCCTTTTGTATTTGAAGATCGTAATGCATACTACAGCCTATGCCAGAAAATTTTCTGTGCAGGTTCACGTTTTATAACCCCCATTGTACTTCCCTATATTCGGTATTTTGATGATTTTAGCTACATTATAAACATATTTTTTCAAGTTTCGCATTTGAATATTTAATAGTTTATGACAAAAGTTGCCTATGAAGGTCTACGGTCCTAATAGACGGCTTACATTCGGTAAGCCGTCTATTAGGACCGTAGATTTTTAACGGATTTTATTTTTTGAAAATTACCAAATTTGTACCATATGGTGGAGGGTATACAAAGTTCGGTCCGGCCGAACTTACAGCTTTTTTACTTGCTCAACTTTGTAATGTAAGAGGCATTTTACATATATCTGTACCTTAGAAAATGGGTCTTCTAGATGTCTTCTACATTGAACGAACTATAAAAAAAAGTCTTGCAACCTAAGAGGACCTCCAACCGGTATCTTAGCCACAGATGATATTTAAAAGGGTTTATATTCTGTGGCTATCATATCTTTTGCAGGTCTTTGGTAGCTAGGAGATCACTCCGAGGACTTTCCACAGGTCTTCCATACATAATTGGCCTTGAAGAGTACTGCCGTCAATTGAAAAAATTCCAAATGACTTCTTTGAATAAAATAACTCTCAATAGGTTTTTTTCTTGTTGAAGGAGAAACTCCCAGAGGCCTTTATGAAAATAAGATTTCCAGAGGTCAAGTTGTGTTTATTAAAAATGTTTGTTTGTGTGAAATTTGAAGAGAGTTGGGTGCTTATTTCGCTTCTCTATGTGGGGGAGGTAGCAGAAAAAATATTCCGATCTCTACCATCTTTATAACAGATCTTAAATCGATAGACATATTGAGATGTGCCAAGTCCGAATGGAGTCGGATGTTAATTTCGTGTTTTATGAGCTTCACGGATATTCAAAATGTTGACCCTTTGTGGGGTAGGTACCAAAAGGAGTGGACCGATATATTATATCTTCACACTACCCTTGGGTAATAAAAATATTGTGATGTGTGCAATTTGAGACAATCGGATGCTTACGTCACATTTTATAAGAGTTATAATTATTCAAAATGTTGACACATTTTCGCACCTGACCTAGCACGGATGCAAATATTAGGATTTGCAAACTTGGACCAACATCGGATTATCCTTTCTCTTTCTGTGCAGTTAAATATTTTTTGTTTTTTTGAAAATGAATACCTTT